AAGCCAGAATCAAAACAGAGAGCAAGCTTCGGGGTATTTGTGTATTTCTTTACGATACACTAGATACCTCACACAGAGTTATGGCTAAGCCAGGCAGTGGGCAGGGTGGTCTAGGAACGTTCATCAGCATGAATTTTGTCCTAGGCTTTCTGGGCTGGTGATACAGAGGAAGGCATGGTGTCCCTCTATTTCTGTAATGCATCTAACAAAGTCTCCCATAATCTCTTTGCTAGGGAGAGGGGGAAACGTGGGTTGGAGATGGCAGTTACTGAATATACAGAGCTGAAGTGTGTCGCTCTGTCACTTGGGGAGAGATCTCTAGTCACATATGACAGAGTCCTCTCTCACGCCCTAATGTTCCATATTTTGTTTGTGACTCAAATGCAGACTATGCCCTTCAAAGTTTGCCGATGATAGTTAGGACAGAAGTATTTTTTAAATAATTATTCAAAAAATATCTTGCTATCCTAGGAATGTTGAAACAAAATCAAGATGAAAAATTTTCTAAATGAATCTAAAGATCCTTATTTAAGTATTTTTATACTTCAACTAAACAACATAATAATAAAAAGAGAAGTGCGTTGACAAGAGTGTAAGCAAATAAACAAGCAAACAAAAAAGGGGAACGTTAATTGACCAGAGCACAATGAACTAAAAATACTTGCCTTTAAAAAAAAGTGCAATCATATGCCACTTGAAGCACATTATTCAAAAGAGGACAGTGACACTTGCACTATTTTCAAGCATAGGGGTTATAGTATCACTTCTGGGCTCCCCACTTTAAGCAAAACCCTGGCAAGACAACGGAAGAATGACGAGGCATTTATTATAAGAGATATAGTTGACTAATCTTCAGCTATTAGGTCTGGAGAAAGCCTAAAGGAGCACAGAACCTTTAACTCCTGGGCAATAGCAGAAAAAAGCAGAGGCAAAGACTGGCTAGAAATAAACCAACCTTCTTCCTGGAGGACTTGGAGCTTCCACAAGGAGGGAAAAAAGTAAGAACCTCAACTTTCAGGTATCAAATCTGATTTCCAAGTGAACAGGATGCCATTAGAGTGAAGATTACTATAAAAAATTGGGAAACACTAAAAAAATCTATAGCCAATATAGCATTGCTCTTGTTGCTGTTACTTTGAAATTCCATTGACGCTAAAGTGCCCTAATTCCAAGGATGAAACATCACTTAGGTGACAGCAACTTAAAGCATATTTTAAGTGGTCCTAGTAAGGGAAACCTCTATATTGACACTGTCATTTTAAATTATAATTTACTTCTCTTAAAGCTTTAGCAGAGATAGTAAAAATGAGAACACAAGCATCTTTGATCAAATAAGTCCAAAATGATAAGCTCAAGCTTTCCCCCCCTTTAAGAATAGTTCTTTAGTGGAATCTGCATTAATCTAGGAAAGAAACTTCATAAATATGCCTTGATATCTCAAATCCCCACTCAGATGTGATTCTCTCACCTCCGAACTATAACCACAGTCCTTTACACCACTGGATGACACTTGGTACATTCAAACTATCTAACATTACAAGCTGTACAAATGTCAGTGGTCAACCAACATATATTTTCGATTGACCATGCCCCTGCCCTGAAGAATTACATTCTAGAGTGGAGATAACCGATAAGCATATAAACATAACAATAACTCCCAATAAAAAGATTAAATATGGCAGTACACTGTAATATGTATGGTAGATGCTGTTGTTTTAGCTTGGTTGGTTCAGGCCACTCTAAACTCAAACGTATTTGCTTAGAGTGGTCTTTCTTGACCATGCTATTAACAGACCAGTCTACTAGAGACCTAGTAGCCATGCAAAGACTTTGGGAGAGAGCAGTCCAAGTAGAAGGAAAAGCAAGTGCAAAAACTCTTGAGACCAAAAGGAGCTTCATGGTTCATGCAACAAACAATAACAACAAAAAGGCCAATATGGCTTAGCATGGTGAACAAAGAATAAAATGAAGGGAACAGAGACTTCCCTGGTGGTGCAGTGGTTAAGAATCCACCTGCCAATGCAGGGGACACGGGTTCAAGCCCTGGTCCAGGAAAATCCCACATGTCGCGGAGCAACTAAGCCCATTCGCCACAACTACTGAGCCTGTGCTCTAGAGCCCGTGAACCACAACTACTGAAGCCCACATGCCACAACTACTGAAGTCTGTGCACCTAGAGCCCATGCTCCGCAACAAGAGAAGCCACCGCAATGGGAAGCCCGCGCACCGCAACTAGAGCAAGCCTGCGTGCAGCAACTAGAGAAAGCCTGCGCGCAGCAACGAAGACCCAACACAGCCAAAAATAAATAAATAATAAATAAGTAAATAAATAAAAAATAATAAGATAAAGGGAATAAAAGATTAAAAGTCAGGGGGCTAGATCACATAGGCCACTGTAAACCACAGTAAGGAACAGATTTTATTCAAAGAGAAGCAGTGGAAGGTTTCAAGCCATGAACTAATGTAAGGCCTTGGGAGCTCACCCTGGCTTCTCTGTGAATGACAAGACTGTGTGAGGCAAAAAGCGTCAGTTAGACCAATTGATAGGCTGCTGCATAGTCAAGGCAAGAGATGATGGCATGGATGAGTGATGAGAAATGGAGATGGTGAGAAGTCACCGGATTGAAAGTGGTACCCACAAAATTTTACTGATGGACTATTTATGAGGTGAAGCAACTAGGTGGACATTTGTGCTATACACGCTGAGATGGGCATGTATTTTGTAAGTATTTTCTGTGCTGGGAGTAGACAGACTTGGGAGCTGAAACCAGGAGTAATGCTTTGAACCTGTAAAATGTGAATGTCTAATGGATTTGTAAGTGGAAAAGCTGAACAGGCGTTTAGCTCCACAAGGCCAGAGCTCAGGCGCAAAGCCTGGGCTGGAGATAGAAACGTGAGCATCGTCAGTGCATAAAGAGTTAAAAGCCACAGAGCTGGATGAGATTACCTGGGAGGGAGCTCTGGAACACCTGAATATCAGCGGCTTGATGGAATAAAGGGTCCCAGAAAAGGCAACTGAGAAAGACTGAGCAGCCAACAGAAGGGAAGCCAGGCAAACTCAGCGCTAAGAGCTAAAGCCCAGAGACACAAATGTTTCCTGCACGATTGTCAAGTCAGATGAGGACTGAGAAGTGCAGGCAAGATGGAGCTCTGGTGACCTTGAGAAACGGTCCTTCACGGGAGTGGGGATTTCACCAACCAAATGGAACAGTTTAGCTCCACCACTGAGCATCTTTGTTAAGGCCACTTTTGTATTGACATTCTCATTTATTTATGAACTATGCAGCATTTGGGGCCACTTTTTGTAACACCTTTGCTCATATATGCTCAAAAAAAGTAAACTGAATGAACAAATATTCTTAAGATATCTTCAAAATATTTCAAGATTACCTCTCTTAAACTGGACATTACAAATTGCGATTATCCACCAATCACTAGATTTCTTTCTAAACCGCTGCTGTTCCTCTCATATCCAAAGGAACCAATCACTCACTGGCAAAACAGTAAAAGTAACTTCTTATGGTAGCAGGTGATTTGACTTGCTACATCAAAAGCTTAAAGTAGCTGATAGTTATAACAATGGTAGTCTGATTCAATGACTTCTAATACCGTTCCAATTTCCTTTAACTTACGTAATTCTGTCTTCACCAAACAGCAATTGAAAAACAGTGGATATCAAACTTTAATGTGAATAAGAATCACCTTGGGTGCTTATAAATGCAGATTATTAGATGCCCCAAGGTGAGGTATGAGTTATATTTTTTTAAGGTCGGGCTGTATTTTTTTAAAGTTACCTTTTTAAAAAGCTACCATGGAAATTCTGGCACAAACAGTAAATGAATCATACTTTGTGAAACAACGATGTAGCAGTTTAGAACAGAATAACGTATGCTATGACGAACCCGTGGCAAAATCAGTTTTGCCTACCCTCACCCCCACCAAATATTAGACTTGCTATTTCTTTTAGGCTCTCGCCATCTCAGATTCATTTTGGTAACTGTCAAGCACCCGTTAGTGCCCGGTTAAATTTAAACATTTCCAAAAATCTCGATGTTTAATTTTTTTTCATGCAATATGTGTGCATCTATGCTGATATATATGCTCATATAATCCTAGAATGAAAAAATTATGTATCTGCATAGCAACCTTACAAAACTAATACCATCCCCTTGAATATGCACTCGTAAACTTAGAAAAGTCTTTTAAATAGTTAAGGTCTCAGGCAAGGAGACTCACCTACATTTCTGCAACTTGAATATTTAAGTGAATGTGGAGAAGCTGATGTCAAAAGACCTATTTCAACCACTGAACATGCACTGTATGTGTTTTTGAATGAGTATAAATAAATCCTCATTTATCATTTTCTGCTGAATTCACACCTATATGAGGCTAAAAATTGCATTTCCAACAGGCTTCCCATGCAGCATCACACAAGAGCAGCTTCCTGACTATTTGGAAAATCCTTTAACATCTTCTCTAAAACTTCTTCTAAGGCCGGGTAGAGAGTTTTAATAAAAAGGGGAAATAAGACAAGTTATCACTTTTAATATTTCAGTGAAAAAACAGGTAAACCAGAGTAGAGGAAAAAAGAGGTTGAGCAGCAAGGACAGGGATGATGTAAAATTGTGTGAAATAAGAAACGAAATCAAGAATTAAAAATAGAATTACATTTTCTGTTTGGCAATACACAAACAACACTAAGTGCACTTCAAATATTTCACTATTGTTGCTCTAAGTGATATGACCATAAGTCACATTAGTAGTGTACTTGGCATTTTTTAAGAGCAGAAAGGATTGAGAGCGTCAGTGCGTTTAAACAGCTCTGTTATCTCCAACGAGAGTGGAAGAGAAATTATCAGAGCTTTTACCAGGGCTGAAAGCCCAGCTCTGACGCCCCCAGTGCTGGTACCCTCTCCTTCCAGCTTCAGTGCAGCGCAGAGCATCACTGCGCCAGCAACCTATTAGGAGCATGGGCACTGTTGCTTTCGTGACGCTTTTACCTGATGTGTGAGGGGAGATGGCTGTTTGCCCCTTTTCTCGTCGCGGACGGGGAAGAGAGACTTCAGCAGCTTCGGCATCTGCGGCACGAAGGATCTTACTGGACTCAAGTAGGAGGCTGCTAGATTACCGAGTCCTGCCAAAAATATTGAAAGGAAAAGAGATAAGGCAAAAACAATTACAGAGACATCTTCCTTACTGTAAATTGGCCACATATCCTTTGTAAGCAAATCTAACAATATAAATAAAAAAACGTGTCCTTAAAAAAATTAATATTAAAAGACATGCTCTTATTATAGTTACCCTCAAACACAATGGTGTTTCCTTTTCCAATTAAATAGCAGCAATTGGGGTACTTCTAAAATGCTCTAATATCCACCGTGCCTATTAAATCCGAAGGGTAATCCAACCCCAGGCCTTGTCACTAACTGGTCAAGTACTATTGGGTTGGCCAAAAAATGCTTTCGGTTTTTAAGTAAAAATAAAAGACACATTTTTCATTTTCACCAAGAACTTTATCAAACAATGTATTCACCCTTTTGTTCCCCTACCTTCTGCCATTTTTCAGACAACTTCATAATTCCGTCTTCCCAAAACTTTTTTTTTGTATTTATTTTTGGCTGCGTTGGGTCTTTGTTGCTCAGTAGTTGTAGCACACGGGCTTAGTTGCCCCGTGGCATGTGGGATCTTCCTAGACCAGGGCTCGAACCCGTGTCTGCTGCATTGGCAGGCGGATTCTTAACCACTGCACCACCAGGGAAGCCCCCAAAACTTTTTATCTTTTTAAGCAAAGAACTGTTCAAGATGCCTTTTACATTCTTCTAGGGAACTCAAATTTTTTCCATTAAGAGAATTTTGTAAAGACTGAAATAAATGGAAATCCAAAGGTGCAATGTCTGGTAAATATAGCAAATGAATCAGAACTTCCCAGCCAAACTGTAACAGTTTTTGCCCGGTCATCAAAGAAACATGCAGTCTTGCATTATCCTGAAGGAAGATCATGCATTTTCTGTTGATTAATTCTGATGCTTTTCATCGAGTGCTGCTTTCAGTTGGTCTAACTGGGGGCAGTATTTGTTAGAATTAATCGTTTGATTTTCTGGAAGGCGCTCATAATAGAGGACTCCCTTCCAATCCCACCATATACACAACATCACCTTCTCTGGATGAAAACCAGCCTTTGGTGTTTGGCGGTGGTTTATTTCACTTGCCCCACAATCTCTTCCGTGCCACATTACTGTGAAGTATCCATTTTTCTTCGCCTGTCACAATTTGTTTTAAAAACAGAACGTTTTCAGTACTTTTAAGTAGAGAATCGCATACGGAAATACAGTCAAGAAGGGTTTCTTTCCCCCGCTTATGTGGAACCCAAACATCAAAGCGATTAACATAACCAAGCTGATGCGAATGACTTTCAACCTTGATTTGGATATTTTGAGTATGTTGGCTATCTCCCGCATGGTATAACGTTGACTGTTCTCAATTAATGTCTCAATTTGATCGCTATCCACTTCAACTGGTCTACCCGACCGTGGAGCATCGTCCAGCGAGAAACCTCCAGCACGAAACTTCACAAACCACTTTTGACATGTTCGATCAGTCACAGCACCTTCTCCATACATTGCACAAATCTGTTTTTGCGTTTCAGTTGTGTTTTTACCTTTCTTGAAATAATAAAGCATAATATGCCGAAAATGTTGCTTTTTTTCTTCCATCGTTTAGTCAGTCACACACCTTCTCCATACACTGCACAAATCTTTTTTTGTGTTTTGGTTGCATTTTTATCTTTCTTGAAATAATAAAGCATAATATGCCCAAAATGTTGCTTTTTTCCTTCCATCTTCAATACTAAAATGGCTACACAAAAATTCATCAAATTTGATGGCTTTTTTAAAATACATGCTGATATGACAGCTGTTACATACAATCTAACAAAATTGTTTCGAATGAAGTTAAAGACAACTAACTGCTACTAGAGCCATCTTACAGAAAAAAAAACCAAATGAACCTTTTGGCCAACCCAATAACTTCTGCCCTAGCATAAAATGGGGCTTTTCATTTTTAAATCACATAGCCAATGACACACTCGTACAGCTCTCCATCCAGACTCTAACCTCTTTAAAGTCAGGGACCATATCCTATTCAACTTTAATTTTTCATGCTGTTTACTGAATGAAGATGATGAAACTGACCTTTCAGGAAGACAGTGGTGTTTGAGATGTCTTCACAAGAGAGGGACAAGTGCCCTGAACCAACCCTGTTCTTACCTGCTCTTAATTACCAAAGGCTGGGGTCAGACGTGCAGATAATGCCTATGATATTAGGAGACTTATTAATGCTTTATTCTTTATAATTCTTTATTCTTAGTGAATAAAACTAAATTTTCAAGAAAAACTAATCCAAGTCATATGTGACTTAAAAATTGTACCCTAATTAACACTTTAAAAAGAAGAAGCCAGCCAACTTGAGGCATCTGTATATGAGGCTGCCTGAAGAGAAGCACGTGACCATCCCCACCTCTACTCCACGCTGGACCAAGACGATGCTAGTTCATTGGCAATACAGATGGTGCACGGACCTGTACGGTTAAGGTTTTCCCTTTTCCATAAAGGACTATTAACTCTAAGTAAACTAGGAAAAGTTAAAGAAGGATATTCTATAATCATGAGCTCAATCATTAAAAAAATACAGCAAAGAGAAAGCTATTTGCCAAGAGATAGGTCAAAAGCAAAAATAGGGATGAGAGAAACAAAAAAAGAGGAGACAAGGGAATTCCCTGGCAGTCCATTGGTTAGGACTCCATGCTTTCACTGCTAAGGGCCCCGGGGTTCAATCCCTGGTCAGGGAACAAGGATCCTGCAAGCCTCGCGGCATGGCCACCAAAAAAAAAAAAAAAGGAAGAGACAAACAAACAAAAAGTTTAAGATGAATAAAGAGGTAGAAGATATAATCATCTAAATGCTAAGAAAAAAAATTAGGAATAATCTAAAGTTTTACATGCAGTTAAACTAACATTCTAGAGTGAGGATGACCTCTAATTAAATAAATATCTAGCCAATAATCAACTAAAGGCTGCATCTATCACAGAAAAAGAGATAATCAGACATGATGTGTCTCCTAAGGGAAGTACGTAAAACTACCCATTCATTTACCCTACCTTCCGTCCCTCCCTCAAATTAGCCTGAATCTGACCAAGGCTGTGGATCTAACCACCAATTTACAGGAAATACACAGGACAGAGAGTCATGTTTAATAACCTGGTGAGGATGTCACCAGTAAAAATAAAAATGTACAGAGTCTATTCAACAAATACAAAGGCAACAGGGGAAAAAGATGAAGAGGAGCAGATAGACTAAAGAGACTTAAGACACGCATCAACTAATCACAATGTGTGAACCTTACTTGGATTTTCATTCAAAATGACTAAGAGATATTCTTGATCCAATTGGGGAAATTTGAACACTGACTAGATGTTTAATGATATTTTGGAATTATTTTTCATTTTTCTTAGGAATGAAATGTTACTGTGGGTATTACTTTAGAAATACATGTACAAATATTTACAGATGAGATAATATCTGAGATTTGCTTCAAAGTCATTCTGAGAGGGTGTGGGGACGTAGTGGGAGCACAGATAAGTAAGCCTGGTGATGCACTGATCGTTCTGAAATCAGCACGGGGCACTCGAGGGCACATCATGATGCTCTTTCTACTTTGTATGTCTGATATTTTCCATAGTAAAAAGATTCTTCAAAGTGAGAGCAAAACAAAAACTTTAACATACAAAAGAAACAGTTTGTCACTAAAAAAAGATGATTGCTAAAAGCACTAATGATGGATATGTAGCCACTAAAAAAGAAACTAAACTCAGAAGCATGGAATGAGCAGGAAGCAATGATGAGCAGAGCAAAGTGGTAAATATGCAAATCAAGTAAACACTGATTAGAATTTTTTTCTTTAATTTACAGAATTTTTAAACAAGGTAGTAGTCTACGACCAAGTAATTTCACCCTAGGTATTTACTCAACAGAAATGTTACAAAAAGACCTATACAAGAACAAGCTTTAGTCACAGTAGCCAAAAACTGGAAACAAACCAAATGTCCATAAACAGGAGAACTGGTTAAAAACTGATAAATTCCACTGTGATAGTGAAATATCTCTCAGCAATAAAAAAGAATAAATTACTGATACACGCAACGGTATGGATGACTTGAACAGATACGCTGAGCAAAAGAAGCCCAACACAAAAAGAGCACATACTATATGATTCCATTTAAATGAAACCATAGAACGGGCAAAACTAATCTGAAATCAGAACACTGATGCACTGTGGGGAGTAACTGGAGTCACATAAATCTTCTAGAGCGCGACTGGGGTGTAAGTTACATGAGTAAATAAACTTGTCACAACTCATTAAATATGACCCATAGTCTAGAAAAAAGCAGTCAGAAAAAGACTAGGAGATTGGTCATGATGCTGGAGTTAGCAGGTAAGAAGTTTAAAAGCAGTTTTTATACACAGGTCCAAGGATGTAAAAAAAGATATGGTCTTAAATATACAGGTATGAAAGAAAGAGCAGCAGAGAAATTAAAACTATTAAAAAAAGAAGCAAATGGATATTCTAGAACTAAAAAGAATAACTGTAATTTAAAAATTCTTGGATGTGCTTAATAGAAGACTAGAAATGGCAGTAGAAATTATCCAATCAGAAGAAACAAGAATAAGATAAAAAGATGAAAAATTAAAATCAAAATAGAATAGAGCTTCTGTGACCCATAGGACAATATTAAGCACTATAACATGTGTGCAATTAGATTCTCAGAAGGAGTAGAGAGAAAAGGGCAGGGGAAAAATGTAATTAACTAATAGTTGAACATTTCCCAAAACTGTTGGAAAAATCTCAATGTATAGACCCAAGAACATCGGTGAAACCCGAGCAAGATAAACGCTAAGAAAACTATACTTAAGCACATCACTGCCCAACTTGCTAAGAAGAAAAATAAAGAGAAAAATTGGAAAGCAAACAACGTAAACAAAGATATACCACATGTCATGGGAAAGTGACACAAATGATGGCTGAATTCTCATCAGAAAAGAAGTGTAAAAGATAATGCAGTGTCTTTGAAGAGCTAAAAGAAAACATGCTATCAACTCAGAATTCTCTATCTAGTGAAAATATCCTTTGAAGAAAAAAGTGAAATAAAGATATTCTCAAAAGGGGAGACCCTTCTTCTCAAGGAAAACTGCACAATAAGAAATAATACAGGATATTCTTCAGGCTAAAGCGAAATAATATCAGATGAATATATGATCTTCAGGAAGGAGTAGATACTGACAGAAATAATAAATATGAAGGAAAATATAAAAGATTATCTATAGTTTCTTAATTTCCTTAAAAGACAAATAGCTGTTTTAAAGAAAAAAAGAAAAAAAAACAACCAATGTAAAATGGGTTCACAACACCTATAAAAGCAAAAGATACAACAATAATACAAAATAAGAGGGGTGGGGGAACAGGTAAATAGAATTACACTGTTGCAAGACTTATATTTGTGCAGTGGGAAGTGGTAATTATTAATTCTAAGTAGACTGTGGTAAAATTAAAGATACCTACTAGACTCCTTTAACAAAGATGTTAATAAGTAAATACAGGTATACCAGAAAGCCAAAGAAAAAATAAAATATTTTTCAATTAACCCAAAAGAAAACAAAAAAGATTACAGAGGAAAAAATAAATAAATAGGCCAAACAGAAACCAACAGCAACATGGCAGACATAACAATAATAATATTAGATGTAAAAGAACTAAACGTGCCAATTAAAAGGCAGAAATTGTCAGACTAGATAAACAAAAAACACTAAACCTAAATATGCTGTCTATAAGATAATCACTCTTAAAGATAAATATAGGCTAAAATTTTAAAGACTGAGGCAAAGATACACCATGCAAGCAATATGCAAAAGAAAGCTGGTGTGGCTATACTAATATCAAGCAAGACAGATTTCAAAGTAAGAGTATTACCAGAGAGCTAAAGGGACATTACATAATAAGAAACATCACTATGTCAGCAAAAAATAACAATCCCAATGTGTTATACCCAGTAACAGAGTTTCTAAATGAATCATGCAAAAACTGTTACAATTAAAGGAAAAAATAGACAATTTCACAATCACTGTTTAGAGATTCAACACCTTCTCTCAATGACCGACAGAACAAATATGAGGGGAAAAGACATCAGTAAAGATACAGCAGGTAGGTTTGAACAAGATTATCAAGCACCTTGACCTAACTGATATATACAGAACACTGTGCCCAAAACAGAATAGACCTTTTCAAATACACATAGAATGTTCACTAAGATAGAATATAGTCTCAAAACATTTAAAAAGATTGAAATTTTGAAGAGTCTGTTCTCTGCTCATAATGAAATTAAATAAGAAATCAATAATAATAATACACCCCCCAGATATAGGAAAATGAATTAATATGCTACCCAATAACCCAGGGGTCAAAGAATAAATCAGAGAAATTAGAATATCTGGAACAGAATGATAAAAAAACACATCGTGCCAAAATTTGTGAAATGCAGAAAGAAATAACAATCAATGAAACAGAAAATAAAACCAATTTGGCTCTGTGGGAAGACTAAAGAAAACTGACAAACCAGTCTCAAAAGTATTTAAGAAAAACAGAAAGAAAACAAAAATTATCTATTTAGAATAAAAAGAATGAACATAACCACAGATCCTATAAACATTAAAAGATCAGTAAAGGAACACTGTAACATTTATGGAAATAAATTTAAAAATTTTGGTGAAATAGAAATTTCCCTAAAAAACATAATTTATGAAAACTTACAAAGAAATATAAAAAGTTAACTTTATAATAAAGAAATTGAAGTCATAATCTAAAATCTTCCCACAGAGAAAATACCAGGCCCAGAGTGTCACTGGTGAATCCTGTCAAACATTTAAGGAAGTAGTAATACCAAGTTCACATAAACTCAGGAAAAAAAGATGAGGAAATTCTTCTCAAGTCACTTTATGGAACCAATGTAATCATGATACCAAAACCTAACAAAGACAATGTTATGCAAAAGGTACATATATTCATCATAGAACATATGCGCAAAAACTCTAAACAAAATATTAGCAAACAGAATCAAACAAATACAAAGGACAACACATCATGATCAAGTGGTATTTCTCACAGGAATGCAAGATAAATTCAACACTCAAAACAATGTGACTCAACACGTTATAATAAGGAAGGGGAAAACTCAGACAGGCATTAACCAGTAGGACAGTGGTTACCTGGTAGGAAATCCTGATTTAAACTACGTCTGAAAGATGCTCAAGTTTCATGACAGTGACTGAAAAAGGAAAATATAACTTACCTGGATCAGGAGAATGGTTATTTTGGGGACAACCAGGGGGAGATGGGGCAGCCGGAGAGATTGCTCTGGAAACGGCAGTTTGCGATACATCCTGTTGACTTTCCCACCGGCCCTATTAAGGACAAAATCGGGAGTTTTGATTCATGTCAATTAACAAAAAAATCTAAAGATACTGAAATCTGTTACACATTACTAAAGCTTTATTCTTGTTATAAGACAGGATAAATCTTATTACCTAAGTACTCTTCCCCTTCTTTATAGAATTGCTCTCCCTAATAATACCACCTCACATCTGGGTATCCCCTATGATTAGTGATGTTGAGCATCTTCTCATGTGCTTATTGGCCACTCATATATTTGTATATTGGAGAAATGTTTGTTCATGTTTTCTGCCCATTTTGCCCAAATGGCTAAACATTTACCTAAGGCAGGACTGAAGCCAAATGCAGAATGAACTTCTAGGATAAAGATACAGTCTGAAGTTTTGTTTTGTTTTTAAAAAGCATTTCTATTTTATTAAAAATTTTAGGTGTCCAAATTCAAGAGGTTGACAGTATAGTACAGGAATAGCAATTTCTCATGCTGTCGGTGGTTTTCCTGTACCTGCAGTCGCTCCACTGCACACTTGTGAACACTGGGGTTCACTTCCCGCTGGGCTAGGGACGGGGCAAGGTGGTCATGTCTGCCAACACAAAGACCTGTGCCAGTGACGGTGCACCTTCCTCCCTCACAGCAGCTCTTAAAGGTAGAGACTTACCTTCTTTTCGTCTCCTAGACTTGAGGACTTGGTCAATCTGTGAGTTGATGCAATGTCATTGACAAAATCACATGAACTAAACCTTGGTTTACTGCTTACTACAATTTACAGCCTCCTAATAATCTTTCTCCTATATCATGCTGCTTCTCACAAAACAGGGATTTAGTAAGACATTCCTTTTGAAATCCTCCCTTCTGCTCTGCTCCTTAGGCCCCCTCTGCTCTTGTGCCTCAAGATACCCTCTTTCACTTCAGATTCTCGACTGAAACCTAGGAACAACTCTAATACAGTCAGGCATCTTCCCCTCCGCCACATACCATTCATGAAAGTAAAAACTCTAGAACAGCATACTACCAAGCCTCTCATTTTTTTTAACAGATGTTAAAGATGAGTTCCAGTTAAGCCTAAACCAAGTAGTCACAAGTTGCCAATAATGGTAGTCTCTGAATTAACAAGTCTGACTGTACTTTCAACTTGTCTTGTAAATTCCCATTAAAGAGATTTCACTGCATAATACAAAAACAATGCCTACCAGGTGACGGATTAGTTTACCTGTCTAGATCTTGAGCCATAAAAATGGTGACAGCACCAAAACACTTTAAACATCAGTCCCATCCAATAAAGAAATAAACCCCAACCCATGCTACCAGTATAAAAACCAGTAATGAAGATGAGACACAACTCTTTTAAATGCTGTACATTCTCTCTTGGTCCTCTGATAATCACTCTGACTTCTTTTTCACCAGAGTTTTAAAAATGGTATTTTATATTAGTTTAAGCCAGTACTCCACAGATGAGTGACCCTGATGATCAACTTGAGTCTTCTGCAAAGTAAGTTCTTTGCTGCTCCTGAAGGTGGATGGGGGAAGAAAGCCCTCTTAGGTTGCCAACATGTACTGGAAACCTATCTGCTTTTAGCAGCAACCTAAGTATTGATCATAAAATCGATAAGCCCTAAGTGATCTGGATCCTGTTTATCTTACAGAAGGCCATTTTCCCTAGGAACTCTCTAAGCACTTGATATTTTAACAAATGGTATGATGCTCAACAGTAGGAAGCTAGGAAGCAAAAGAGACATGAAGAGATGATGAGGGAAATGAACTATGAACATGTCACTGTAGGAGCATTTGTGTTACTATGAATCACACACTGATTTACATACTTTAATGTTTCATTAACTTTTTTTTGCATTTAAATTTAATTATCTGTCTGGGAAGCTGCAGCTTTGTGTACTCTGGGACATCACCATCAGGTGATGGGACAATAAAATCAACACTCTACTGAGCTTCTCAGAGGAAGAAAAGTCTCACACTTTCTTTACAGGGTTTAAGCTCATGCAAGGTTGTTCTGAAGGCAACATACTTAATTTCAGAATAAATCTGTTTTCATACTTTACATTTTTCTTCCTTGTTTGGCAGCTGACATAGTGGGACTCTGTCCCTTAGGAAAACTAAGCAGCAGATTTGGAGTCAGCACCTCAGCCATTTGGTGTGGTCCAATGACAAATAATGTAGGTGTCACTTCTTCCCCCAAGGCACACTCAGGGCTCTGCTAGCTTCCCGGGTAATTTTTACCAGCTGGAACTCCCACACCCAATGTTACTCCCAAATCTGAATGGAGGCAATAACTCTTACTGTCTCATATATTCGAATATCTCAAGTGAAAACATTTGAAAGGATGCACACAGTACTTACCCAGAGCCTTAGCCATATCGTTAGCCCCATGAGAGAATGAAAAACGGAGACTCATTTCATCCGTCTCCCTTAACCACCATCTTAACCTTGAGGAATCTCACAGTCTCGCTAACCAGAGACGGGGACACAGAGTGTCTCAAATCACTCTGCGACAGAACAGGCTCTGCTTCCAAGGGAAGAACAAATTTGGATGATAAACTGGGTACAACACTCCTCCCTCCTCTTTCTGATACCTGCAGATCTCTGGAGAAACACTCCACTGAAATCATTCACTATATTCTTTCTCTCTGGCTGTACATGTCCATTCTCTTGCCAGGAGTGGAATCTGTGGTCCGGGGTCTAGCAACACACACTGCCACCCAGGGACAAGGCAATTAGTGTCTTTCCAATACATTTCACTTGCTTGGCTGGTCCAGGGTTATTCTCCCTTTACTGAAATGTTGGGGAAGAAAAAAGGAAGCATCCCAGTTAAAGGTACTTCAGAGGGAGATCAACTCAGGACAATGAATAAAAAGGACTTGGCCAGATACCAGGCCTTTCTGCTTTCTTATGAGCTCAGCTCTCAAAGTCAAAGAGTATGGCATTTTTCTTTTTAAACTTCTACCACAGTAATCTACGCTCCACTACTGAAATCTGGAAAGATCAATCTGTGATGTTTCTGACATTTTTCATGTCTATCAACCTTCAGAATCAGCTACCATGGGACTTCCCTGGTGGTGCAGTGGTAAAGAATCTGTCTGCCAATGCAGGGGACACGGGTTGGAGCCCTGGTCTGGGAAGATCGCACATGCCATGGACCAACTAAGCCCGTGCACCACAACTACCGAACCCACGCTGTAGAGCCCACGAGCCACAACTACTGAGCCCGCGAGCCACAACTACTGAAGCCCCCGCGCCTAGAGCCCCTGCTCTGCAAAGAAAAGCCACCGCAATGAGAAGCCCGCACACAGCAACTAGAGAAAGCCCTCTAGGTGGTCACAAAGCACCGAGCTGATCTCCCTGTGCTATGTGGCTTCTTCCCACTAGCTAGCTATTTTACATTTGGTAGTGTATATGTAAGTCCATGCCACTCTTTCACGTTGTCCCAGCTTACCCTTCCCCCATGTCTTTTCTTTTTTTTTTTTTTGCGGTACGTGGGCCTCTCACTGTTGTGGCCTCTCCCGCTGCAGAGCACAGGCTCCGGACACGCAGGCCCAGCGGCCATGGCTCACAGGCCCAGCCGCTCCACGGCACGTGGGATCCTCCCAGACCAGGGCACGAACCCGCGTCCCCTGCATCGGCAGGCGGACTCCCAACCGCTGTGCCACCAGGGAAGCCCCCCTCCCCGTGTCTTTAAGTCCATTCTCTACGTCCATCTGCATCTTTATTCCTGTCCTGCCCATAGGTTCTTCAGAACCTTTTTTTCTGTTTAGATTCCATATATATGTGTTAGCATATGGTATTTGTTTTTCTCTTTCTGACTTACTTCACTCTGTATGACTGACTCTAGGTCCATCCACCTCACTACAAATAACTCAATTTCGTTTCTTTTTATGGCTGACTAGTATTCCATTGTATATATGTGCCACATCTTCTTTATCCATTCATCTGTTGATGGACACTATGCTTAAAGTCAAAACCCAACAGGGAAAAACACAGCATGCTCTCAGCTGACTTGAGGACCTGATCGGTCCCCCTTGGGCACCTCCTGTTTTCCTGTTACCGCTCTCCAGACAGACACAAATGCTCTGGGTATTCCGTAAAGAGGTCTGGTTTTGATCAGGAAAGTGACAAAGAGGTATAAACAAAGAGAAGCACCAGTGACATTCCAGGTCCAAAGGTGGCTTCTCATGCAGCTAAAGAAGAGGTGACTCATATTTGGTACCAGCCTTAACTAGTGCCACACTACATAACTGCAGTTTTCAGGAAGGTGATGGGGCCAAAACACACAATTCAGTTTTGTTAACTGAATATTCATTCAGGCTTTTTTTTTTTTTTTTTTTCTTGCGTTATGCGGGCCTCTCACTGTTGTGGCCTCTCCCATTTGCGGAGCACAGGCTCCGGACGCGCAGGCTCAGCGGCCATGGCTCACGGGCCCAGCCGCTCCGCGGCATGTGGGATCCTCCCAAAACGGGGCACGAACCCGCGTCTCCTGCATCGGCAGGCGGACTCTCAAGCACTGCGCCACCAGGGAAGCCCTCATTCAGGCTTTTGGCTACTTTTAATTGCATCAAAAACTCCAATCAGAAGCTGACAAACATCTTACTAACTTATTTTAAAATATATAATTCCATTTAAAATGTCTTTAAGTAAGACCACTATTTTTTGTTGACAGAGTTCCTTGGATTGCAAAAGATCTCAATGCACAGCCACTGTTTAAATGGAAAAATAATCTGCAATTAATTCTGCACCTAAATATGAGTCTAATCTGGTAGACTGGTCACAAAAGTTTGCTAAGCTTTCATTATACCTATACAAAAACTGCCTTACAATAATGATGAAATAGCCAGTAACAGTAAATAACAACATCACTGCAATTAGGAATATCTTATATTCTTAATTGAAAAGCTTTTCAAGAGTGATTTCTTTTAGGCCATAAGGTGAAATTAAAAGTTAAGAGTAGTTAATAAAATTCAATTTATCTTTTTAAGATTAACTAGCTCATCAGTTACATCTTGGTGG